AACATTAACAAAAATATAGATGTATCTTTTGCTTAGTGAAATAAGCCAAACAGAGACAAATGTATGACTTTAATCATAAGTAGTATTAGAGAAATCAAACAAAAAACTAAATAAACCTCAAAATAAACTTTTGGACTAAAGTCCTTGTGGTGGTTGCCACAAGCAAAGGGGAAATGGCGAATAAATCAGAATAAAGGGGCCAATCATGGAGAAAGATAGACCTGGAGGTCCAGCATGAACTTAATGTAATGAATATGGATGCCAATTATCAATGATAAATATCTGACACTTTTAATATTATAATGTATATTACTCTAATTAAAAAAAAATAACAGGTTGTGGCAACATAAAGAAGCAGAGGTAGAAATAAAGTTCAAATAAAATTTTCCAACTTGACTGATGGGGAAGATAGTATCAGAGAAAATTTCCTGCTTTGTATAGGGAGAATAAACTTAGAAATCCAGATAGTTTAGAGAATCCCAAAACATGGGGTGAAATCAGTATTCCTCAAGATCCACAGAGACCTATGCTGACCAGGCATGACAGAAGAGATGCCAGAGAGATTCAATTTTAGGAAGAACAGAAAGATGAATGGAGGCGAGGGTGTCTATGTTCCTTGAGGTTGAACTGATTTCTGTGGATCTGGCCTAAGGAGATATGGCCAGTATTGCTATAGTGAGCCCAGCAGATGGGACCCCAAGTGAGAAAGACAAAGTACAGAGGGTTGCAAACCCCGCTACCACCACCACCTCTCCAGTGGATGAATATAGGGACTGAGTGGACACAGTGAGGTTAGGTTAGAGCTTGCCTGACTATGCCTTGGACCTGGGTTACAGACTGCAGATGTGGGTCTGGGTCTTAGACAGAAGGGCTTAGCAGCACTGACGTGGAAACAAGCAAAGCATGGTAACAGTACTCTCATGAGCCAAGTACCCCTGCAAGGCCCTCCCCAACTCTTTAAACACCAAGCCAAATGTTAGTTCTCCCTAATATATAGCACCATCTATTGGAAGAGTGGAGACTCTGAACCCTTGATAAACAAAAAGTAAATAATGGGAAGATGGAAAAAATACAACAAATGACAACCTGAATGCTCAGATGACTACTACACTGCAGAGAATGAAAAAATGTGCAGAACCTAAAGATAGGGATGATCTTTTGTTATGATCTTTTGTTACAGAATTCAAAATTAGCATAATAAAAAAATTGAGAGAAATGAAAGTGAACCCCGATAAGCTGATCAAAAATATACCCTCCCTTCAAAAAACAAACAAACAAAAACAAACAAAAACAAACAAACAAAAAAAAAAACTACTCTCAAAACAAATGAATGTATCATACTTTAGATCAACCATAAAAAGAAAGCAGGGAAAATCTCTAATATGTGAACATTGAACAATACATTGCTGAGTAAGTATGGGTTATTGAAGAAACAAAAACTTAAGATATACCTCAAGACAAATGACAATGAGAAAACAACTCACCAAAACCTATAAAAACAGCAAAGCAATACCAAGAGCAAAACATATAGCAACATAGGCCCACATCAAGAAACAAGAAAAAAGTGAATTATCTTTCACTTTAAAGAATTTAAAAAGAAGTTCAAACAAAACCAAAAGTTAGTAGAAGGAAGGAAAGAGTGTGAATTAGTAAACAAATAAATAGAAATATTTTCAGATAAGAAAAAAATCAATAAAGCCAAAAGCTGGTTCTTTGAAAAACTAAACAAAAAAACCTATGGTGAGGCTGAAAAAGAAAACAAGGGATAACTCAAACAAATTGGATCACAAAGGAGAAGTTACAGGAGACATCTCAGAAATTCAGAAGATAAGAGATTGCTATGAACATTTGTGTAAATTGAATAACCTAGAAGAGATGCGCAAATTACTAGAATCATATAGATATCCAAGACTGAATAGAGAAGAAAAAAATATTAAACAGACCAATAACAAGCAAGGATATTGAAGCAGTAATAAAAATTTTCCATTCCCCCTCAAAAAAAATTGAGGACAAGATATTTCAAAAGGGAGTTTTATCGAACTTTCAAAGCTAAGGTAATACCTATCCTACTCAAACTCTTAAAATATTGACAAAGAAGGTATACTTCCAAGACATTTTATGGGCTAATATTACCTTAATACCAAAACCAGACAAAGATAACACATATAAAAAAGAAACTACAGACCAATTACTCTAATGAACATAGATACAAAAATCTTCAAGAAAATCTTAGCAAACAGAATTTAGTGGGTACATTAGAAGGATTATACACCATGACCAAGGGGATTTATAGCAGGGACATAAGGATTGTTCAACAATTGAAAGTCAATTAGTATAATTCACAACATAGATAAAAGAAAGGATTAAAAGCTTATGATCATATCAACAGATGCCAAGAAAGCATTTGATAAGATTAATATACATTTATGATGAAAACACTTGAACAACTGGGGGTGAGTGAGACAGATACCAGCATTTATAATAAAGTCCATATATCACAAACCCACAACAAATATCATTCTCAATGGTGAAAATCTGAAAACTTTTCCACTAAAACCTTGGATAAGACAAGGATATCTATTATAAACTACTATTCAACATGGTATTGGAGTCTAATCTAAAGCAATTAGGCAAGAGAAAGATATGAAAGGAATCCATATTGGGAAAGAAGTAAAGCTATTATTTATAGATTATATGAACATATACATAAAGAACCCCAAACACACCACTAAAAAGTCCATTGAAACAGTAAATCAACTCAGCACATTATTTATCTTGGCAGTTTTCAACATAAATACACAAAGATCAATTGCCAAACTTATATATAAACTGAGCTAGAAGAGAAAGAAATTAAGAAAATAATTCCATTTACAATTACATCAAAAACAATAAAATAAATAGTAGTAAATATAAGAAAGGTGGTAAAGGACCCATAGAAAGAAAAGAATAAGACATTGTTCAAAGAAACAGAAGAAGAAACAAAGAAATGCAAAAATAATCTCCATTCATGGATTTGAAGAATGAACATTGTCAAAATAGTCATTCTACAGAAACAGTTACACATTCAATGCAGTCCATATCAAGATTTCAATGACATTTAAAAAAAAAGTAGAACAAGTATAGGGAGCTACAAATGACACTGAAGAGCCAATTCCCCCCAAAAAAAAAAAAAAAAAAAGGGAGAATGTGAGAATGTCAATATCACATACCCGAACTTCAAACTATACTACCAAACTATCATAATCAAAGCAATACAGTAATAAAGCAAAAACAGAGACACAGACCAAAGTCATAGATTGAAAGTCCAGAAATAAAGCCACGTCTATTTGGACACCCACTCTATGACAGAATAGCCAAGAATATACATTGGAAGAAGGAAAACCTCTTCAACAAATGGTGTTAAGGAAACTGGACATTGCATGCAAAATAGTGAAGCTAGACCACTATTTGATACAATATACAAAAAAAATTCAAAATAGATAAAAGACTTGATTTTTAAATTTTGAAACCATAGAATACATATTAACAAAACGTTCCACAATATAGGCTTCTGAGATGTCTTTGTGGCTTCATCTCCATCAGTCAGAGGGAAAAAATAGAGAATATAAGCAAATGGGACTATAGCAAGTGAAAGGGTTTCTGCAGCAAAAGAAACCTTCACTAAAAGAAAACAAAAACAAAACCTACTGAATAGGAGAAAATATTTACACACCATACATCTGAAAAGGGGTTAATGTCCAAGATCTCCAAGAAACTCATACAACACAACAAAAAGAAAACAAAATTGGTAAACATTCAGCAGAAGAGCTAAACAGACACTTCTCAAAATCAGACATAGAGTTAGCCAACAGGAACATGAATCATGACTTAGTGTCAAGGCAATGAAAATCAATACCACAATGAGATAACCACCTCACAACTGTGAAATATGGCATATATCAAAAAGACTATAAACAAGTAGAGAATGTGGAGAATAAGGAATTCTCTGTTGTTGGGAATTTGGACTAACTCAGCTCCTAAACTATAAATCCACATTGCAGTGTTTTTCTTGAAAATGTTTGTTAAAATGAAAACAAAAAAAATATTGAAGTCACTCACAAGACTTTCTGACCACATGCCCACATCTGTTTCACTAAACTGTTAATATTTTATTTTGGGAAGTAAAACAAACCATCATTTTACTTCAGAAACTCCTGCTATGTCAGTTCACCTCCTAGAGGAAACTTTTGACTGCTTGTGCTCCAGTCAATTGCATATAGGGAATTATGTCATATCGACAGAACTCTTCTCTGGTAGCAGAGATATCTCTATTATTATCTCTTTTCTGATAAATTCCATCAGCCTTGTTATGAGCCATCACTCATTTTCCTTTCCATTATTGACCTTCTATTTTGTAAGTGCATACACATGAGCACACATGCATACACACACTCACAAAGCAATATCTAGATCACTTATATATGCCTCGGAGAAAACTTGCAAGCAGGGATGTTCACTGTATATTTTCACCTGGTATGAAAAAAATTAAAGGGTGAATCTTTAAGTGGCTGCAGGAAGGTTATAGGTTATATGGATGTGGGGGAATATATTTTTTTCCAAAACATTGAAATGAACTAATAAACATAGCTGAATAAAGAATTTCTTGGGTCCTCAGAAGTTTCATCCCATAATATTCACCTTTACCACAAAAAAGTCTTGTAACTCTTCAAGTCCTCACTCTATAATCCTGATCTATAATGTTTGGGAAAATTATTGTGAGATTTAGAAGTATTTTGATGGCATTAACTTCCCTGATGTAAGTGGGAATATAATTTGATTAACCCATCATTTCTTGAAATGTCCAACAAGGCGAAACAGACACCTCCCTGAGTAAACTCTTACATAATCACACTGACACACCAGTACAAACTTAAAACAAATTTCCACCTGAGAATTCAAGAAATTATACTACCTTGCCCCAAATCGGTAAGAATCCAATTACCACAAGGATGGATAGTTACCCATGGCGAAGAACGGGATTCCCAGCAGGGTGGAGTTGTACTTTCCATCAGTGATGAAGAAAATTCCTGCTGCAGTGACGATGGAGATGCAGACTGTGAGCACCCCCAGAAGGCCTAGGAAGGGCTTGCTGCGCAAACAGTCTTTCATGGAGCTGGAGAGGGTGGCGGTGGTCAGGATCAGCACGAGGCTCACCAGGACCTTGCTCCTGGCCAGGAGGCTGGTCTTGTGAAAGTCTCTCCAGAGGCTAAACGATGCTAAAGAGTAAAGCTGGAAGTCCTGATGCTCCTCCTGGAGCTTCCTCATAAGCTTACAGAACTCATTCTCCCACTTCTCCCCTATGAGGTCTTGGGTGGCAGAGCCATAGGTCTGGAGGTAGTAGGTGATTTGAATGGCTCTGGCTGACTTGACCCGCTGGTCTTTGCTGTTTGGCACTTCCACTACCCCGCCCAGTTGGTGTCCAATAAAACTGTTCCTCCCATCCTTAAAAACAGAAAAAGGGGAGACTCAAGTTACCAGATGGATGCATGCTCCAAAGAACAGGTTCTTACTCTAAATGAAGGTACACAAGAAGGCAAAGAAAGAAAGAAAGGCTCTAGCAATTGAGGAACTCATTCGGGTGGAGTAGCACTTTAGAATGGTATGGTCGACCTTTGGAGCTACATGGAATACCATGCAAGATGATCAGGATTAGAAAAGATGCAAAGAGTATGAAGCTATACAAGACTTGCCACATGCATGGAAAAATGTACATACAAATTAATTTGATTTCATCCAAACACTCATTCTCACAATTTCTTTCTATAAAAAATTATAACTCCTTGATGCATTATAAAATGTTGTGATTCAGTTTCAGCCAAAAGTGAAGCATGGCATGAGTTAGAAGCACTTCAAAAGTTAAAATATTTATTTAAAAAATATATGCTATATTTTCTAGGTTTAACATACATACCTATACCAATACACATTCAAACACAAACACTACAAACATACATACTCAGTCTCTATACGCTAGGGCTACAACTGTGTATTGCACAACAAATAGAAGAAAATAGTGCTTTTCACTATTAACTTAATAGTGTTAGAATGTTTTTCAAAGTGATGAGCCCATAGTTTCAACCCAGTTTTTCTCAGTTTAAACCCAGTAGTTTCTAGAATCCTATGGGGCTAACTACAGGGGATCAACTTTGGTTCCTGCTCTCCACTAAAAACTCTTTATCATGAAAATTGGCTTCACCTATGGTCCCCTCTTCCAGTATTTTCCTCTTTCAGAAACCAAATGTCTCCCATTTAATAGGTATGTTGATTCAAATTCCTCCTCTTCCAGTAAAATGTCCTACAAAAATTCTGAAATTCCTGTAAGTGCAGAAATCACTTTTATATTCCAAAGAAGATAAATCCTAAAAGTACCTGAGATGATGTGGCTAACTCTGCAGGACCTCAAGTGCACCTGTTCTCGCTGGCTGATGTTGTGCATGGGTGAGCACACTCCCCAGTAAGGCCAACAAACAAGCCAGCAGGGCACAGTGCACTCTGTCCTGCAAACAGCTGCAGCCCACTACTTTGTTTCAAGTACTACTTTGTTTCAAGAAACTATAAGAAGCCCCAGGGCCAGGTACAAACATGCACCCTACTCCCTGCTTGGGGCGCATTTCCTGTTTTTCCCTGCACATACTGACCCTATATACACCCATGGGCAGTCCTAATAAACAGATTTCGGACTTCAGACCCAGGCTCCTGCTTCATTTTCTCTCCTCTCGGGACTAAAAGTCCTTATTATGGAGTAGGATTTAACTATTCTGTATAGGAATCCACTGGTGAGTTTTAAGTAAGGGAAAGCCATGATTAAATTCTAGAGCACACCCTCCAATTATACAGTGGAACATGATACAGGAAGGAGGGGGGAACTCTAAAAGAAAAGAGTTCAAGAAGTCCCTGCAATATTTCAAGTTTTTGATGCAACATGAAAAAAATACCAGCAGAGTCAGTGTCACATAGGTAAATTTTTCCAAGGTGAATCAATGGAATTGCAGGTCACAGTGCTATCTCATGGCCATAAAGCATGATATCATATTATCTCTCCAGGAGCAGTAATTCCAAAAGAATAAGAAAAAAAGAGGAGAAATGGGTTCTTTAGTTCTTTTTAGTTTATGTTTACCACTTTGTAGCCTTTTAAAATTTCTTCTTCCAATCCACACCTTTTCATAATGGAAAAGGAAATTAAACTTTCCAAGCTAACATCAAAGAATAAATTCTTAAAGAGTGAGGAGAGAATAGAGTCATTAATGTCATAAACAATTGGCCAGCAAAACCGTTACTCAATGGTTCCATGTAATGACAGGAAAGTGTCATATCTGTTCAATATATGTGGTTGGTTGATGCTAAGATAACTGACTGTAAGATAATGCGATGAGCACATTACCTGTCCAGAAAAATTTTAATACAGATGTCCTTGATTTTTTATGAGGGCAAGGATACTGGAAACATTTAGATGGTCAGTTGTCTTTTATTGCTGAAATGGTAGATTGTGACATTGCTAAAAAAGAGGTAAGGTTTGCTGTGCTTAAATACAATTTCTGCTCATGTTAATTTCTTAGTTTATATCTCTTTGTTTTATTTTAAATATCAACATATACAAGCAAGTCAGGATCAAAAGAAACCATTAACTATCTTGAATTTCCTTTCCAGAGCCTCATGCTTAGTAGAAACAAGAAATTAATAAGAAAGCAACTCACTGCGAAGTATTTACTTAAAAAAATGAAATATCATTTTCAAAATGGAGATTTTTAAAGCATTAAGATATTCTAATAAAGAATCAACTAATTTTTATGTCACATTATTAAGCTCAGAAAGTAAAATAAAATAATTTTATATTTTTCAATGAGAAAGGCAAAAAAATTAAGGTTTCGGTGTTGCTGAAATGAAATATGCACTATATTCAACCAGCCAGAATATAAGTAATTTTAGCAAAGTACTTAAGAATATCAATTAACTGAACCTTGCTAGGTAGGAGATAGGTAATACATGTAGCAGACTCCACAGTTTTGAGACTTAAGACTTCATTTGCATTATCCTAGGTAAATCCTTCAGTCACTCTCTGAGCAAGTGCTGTACTATACTAGGCTCAAATCACCAGTGAAGACACAGAGGCCAAGCAAGAAGCAGAGTGAATAAGAATGCACAATTGCTAAATGGCTTAATCAAACTCTTGATTCCTACTTCTAACTCCAAAGCTCATGTTCTTAACACTACAGGACATATGTTTGAATAATTTATTAACATACTTGAATAAAAGAAAATATAGCATAACAGTACTGTCCATAGACTCGAGTCCATTGTCTAGGCTGGATCTCAGCATCAACACTGACCAGCTGTGGAAATCTCTTAAATTCTTGGTACATTGTTAAAACAAGAATCATAAGACATTGGGAGGATCACAGTACCAATAAATATAAAATGTCTGGAATAATGCTCAAAAAGTACTTTTTTTTTTCATTGAATACCTAGATCATTTTATTTATTAATTTATTTTTAGATTTATTTATTTATGCATACAGAACTGGGGTACAGGCCAGAGGTGCAGTGATGGTAAGAGGATTCACCAGACAGAGTGAGGAACACAACAGGCAGAGCAACTGAAATACACTGCTGAAGAGAGCAGCAGGTGGGTCAGGAGAGGTCTACCGTGCCATGTGGATCATCTCCCTGGCCAGGGATTGAATTCAGTGTGAAACTTCGGCTAGCTTCACACTGCTTCTCTTTAACCTCTTGTGCCAGCAGAGAGGTCTATTTAAGATTTTTAATTGTGATCATATGAGGATACCCCCATAAGGTAGTGTTACCATGGAGTACCAACTACCAAATCATTGACAATCCTCCATCTTAGCCCAGTGTGAGTATTTTTCGTGTAAATATATATATTAAATTACACATTAGAATGATGCTGTTTATTCACCTAGCCATCTAAAATTATTCTACACTTCCCAACAAATGTATGTAAAGAACACAGGACACGGGTCCAGATACCTGGTTACAAGCTGTAGTTCTGTTATCATGGTGCAGGGTGTCGGAAGACATGCCTGCTGTCTTCCCGGAACACAAATTCCTTCATCTCTCAAATTAAAGCTTGACTTACAGTTTCTCCAAAGTTTTCATTAACTCTGTATTTAATGATTCCTCTGTGGTAAAGTCATTAGACACCATAAAATTGGCTAGATAGATCTGCCCTAAGGCAGAAAATAAGAATGAAGGAAAAACTTACAATGACCTATGTTCATTTCCATAGAAACAAGAAGCTTTTTATCTCCTTTTAATCTGGACCCAGTTGCTATTTCTCCTTTTACTTTGAGTAATTTCCAGAGAGAATTCTCGTGAAATGGAAAAAAGATCGAGAATTTATCCCATTTTATCTAGATATAAATCACTTCTCAGTAGCCCAGTTGAATTAATTTACTTGTTAGAGTGTAAAATTTATTTGATCTTCAGATCTCTATTTCATGCTTTCACAGTATTGGCATACTTTTCATATAGTTGAATAAATATAATTAATTTCTTTTTTGCTTATGAAAATATTTATACAAATTTAATGACAAGGTGTAGAAATAGAAGAGTTAACAACTGCATTAAATATAAAGCATATAAGAGTGACCTTTTTGTTTCTCTGTAATTCCTATTAGTATATTAGTAATCCTATTCCCAAATTTTCCATAAAAAGCAATGTTACTATTTTTAAATGACTCTCTCTTGAAAGGATCACAATGTCCTCTCAGGGCAAGTATTTCATATCACAGGACATTTATCTTTTATACAGTTGTACATAAAGCCTCAGGATTGGAGGAAAGCACTCAGTACAGTGCCACCTTCAGCAGAAGGATCGAAAGTACTGCCATAAAGCTTTTCCTTTGAACTATAGGTCTCTCCAAAAAAAGAATCTTATTTAAAAGCAAGTACTGTATAAGGAGTAAAACCTCTGGGCCATTAGCGCCCTGAATGGAAAAGTAGACTAGACTGACAGCCTACAGAAGAAAACCTCGGAATAGTTTACAACATCCTCACAGAAATGGAAAAGTCAGGGAAGATGGAAAGTGTAGGTTGCATGTGTCTTCAAACAATGAATCATGGGAACCCAAGCATGACACACAGGTAGAAACAGGTAAGGAAGGCTGCATCATTCATCCATTCAAGAAATATTCAGTAATCGCATGCCCTGTGACAGTCAGCTATGAAGGATAAAGTGGCTAAGAATTACAGTTCTTATCCCCAAAGAGTTTATTACTTTGAGGTAGAGTGGGAGATGGGGAATGATAAGTAAGTAAAGCAAGCAGATATATATATGAATTATACACACACACACACACACACACATGTTAAGACCTGACACAAGCAAGCTGTTAAGGGAATACTGAGAAAGAATCACCTAGTCTAACAGGACCAAAGAAGGCTCTCTGAAGGTGGCATCTTAGCTGAGACCTGAAGTTTAAGTA